CTCGTCCGGCGAAGAGTGGTGGATGCTGCGGTGGTGGCGGTGGGCGCTGCGGTGATGCGATGGCGCCCATGGCGGGGGCGACGGCGGCGAATGCGATGTTGTTTTTCGGTTCCACGCCCGCTCCTCGACAGTTTCCATCGCCGCGGCCAAAACGCAGGCTACTCAGCACTGCGCCTCGAAGGCTATTCAGCACTTCTATCTGCGCAGCAACTTCAAGTCGCGGATTGAACGGAGGTCGGCCACAACGCAGGCGCCTCGAAGGCTATTCACCACTTCAATATGCGCGGCAGCTCTACCTCAAAGCTTGAACGGAGGTCTCCACGAACGCACGCCGTACCCGACGAACACGACGCGCGTCGATGTTCACCTGCTCGCGCCTCGCAAAGTGGATCTCGTAACTACTGATCCTGCCGCCCCCCACCCCGCCCCCCCACCCCCCCCACGCTCATAGCTGTAAGTGGCGCCAGTTTCTGACTCCGTGTGGAACTTTTCAATGACTGCCGAAAAGGGGGATGTCCCACCACTCGTCCGCCGGATGCTCGACCTGCCAGCGCGCGTCCAAACCTGCCGCGGCGCGGTCAACAGGCTGCGCAGCACCGAGCATCATCAAAGCGCCTGCGGCGGCAGGCTGCGCAGCGCTGCCGGCATCGGCGCCGCCGGGCCCGGGCGACATTAGGCCGCGCAACATCCTGCAGAAAGCCACAGACAGCTATGGACATACATACATATTCACAGACATATAGGGCTCGAGAACCTCTAGGGAGATCGTTCAATGTGGTCGAGTGAGTCGCGCGGTGTCACAGCCCAGAGCCCAAGTCCCCGCGGCTTCGCTCCGCTGCTCGCTCGCGGCAAGGCCCTTCCACGAGCAAAGCTTCCACGCATCTCTTCGGGTGGATTGGCGCGCCTCAGGCCATGCTTCCTCCTCCTAGTACAACTACTACTACAACTACTACTACTACTACTACCACTACTTCTACTACTACTACTAATACTACTACTACTACTACTACTACTACTACTGCTACTACTACTACTACTACTACTACTACTGCTACTACTACTACTACTACTACGACTACGACTACGACTACGACTACGACTACTACTACTACTACTACTACTACTACTAGAACTAGAACTAGAACTAGAACTAGAACTAGAACTAGAACTAGAACTAGAACTGGAACTACTACTACTACTACTCCTACTCCTAGGTAGGGTGCTCGTGGTACATGCATACACATATAGAAACATGCATGTATACATACATGCAAACATACGCACATAGATACATACAGGTCCATGCATCAGGCGGTCTGGCCATGCTGGATCGCTCCTGCCGCCTGGCGTGGGGCATCTTTGGCCTTCTCTAGAGCTTTGGCAGGAGTTATGGAGCTGTTCCACGAGCTGCGGAAGAGTTCCAAGTTGAGACAGCTGAAAGGAGCAACGAGAAAGAAAAGGGCCATCTCGTAGTTCCCAGAGATTTCAAAAAGGAACGCGCGGAAAGCGCGCCGCAACACTTGATGCCATGACTGCTTCGATGCCCCCGCCGCTGTCGCAGCGTCCGGGGGTGCATCCATTGCTCGTAGTCGTCTTTCCAATCTTTCAAGGCACGATCGAGCTCTTGTTCACTGAGGATGTCGATGCTGGAATCGTTGCACATTCTCTCGCGGCGCCCGGTTGTCAATCTGATCAGCGGCTCCAATTTGACATCGACAGTGCAGCGCCGCCGTGCCGGGAGGTGCCCGACAGCGCCGTCAGAGAGGGGCCCGTGCCCTGACAGCTCGCCCCAGAGGAAGTCGCACGCGACCCACTCCAGCACCTCGTCCGAGAGCTCCTCCAAAGCAGCGGCCATGCGAGGACATGCGGCACGATGCCGGGGCGCAGGCTGTTCAGCGCTGCTGGATGAGAGGACGGCGCGAGAACGAGCGGCAACAGAGTCCCACAGATAATCGAATGCGACGTACGCCTCGGCCATCGAAGAAGCATTCTGCCATGGGCCTTGGTATCTGGACAGCTCCTCGAACGGGGTGACAGGCCCAACTCTGGCCCATAATTTCCTCATCACATTCTTGTTGTATCGTGACTTCGCCATCTCCTTGGCGGGCCGAGGCAGCCAGCGTCGATCATAACGACGTCGCCCTCCAGCGTTCCAAAGTTGCAGAGGGGCGGGCCATCGGTGCCATGCCCATGCGTGAACGCTCGGAGCACGCAGCGCGCTGCTCCAACAATGCACTGCTTGGAGCACGCACCGTTCCTTAGCGCCTGGTCCAATGGAACGACTAGCTCAGTGATCCAGCCGTTCCATTGACAGACAGGTTGTGGAACGCTGTTGAGCTGAACGACGGGAGCTGCCGCAAGGATCTGTGGGTAAATGCCGCTGTCCCCGTGTTCTTGAAAAGGCTCGGGCCCCGGGTCCGCTTCCTTGGAGAGCTCGAGAAGCTTGCCGGAGAATGGGTGGCCATCGTCGGGACGCAGGGCTTCCAGCAGGTGCGCAACCTCGACTAAGCCGTGGCCGAGGGAGGCGCAGAGCTCTGAAGTGACAGCCAGACACGTCGACATCCAGGGTCGCGGGCAGAGGCGGCCGTCGCGTGTGAGTCCACTGCGGCTCTTCATTTGGAATCATGGACGCCTGGATTTGCCATGCGTCAGCAGGCTGCGCAGCGCTGCTCCTGCGGCGCCTGGCCTCAACTCGGCGAGGCTCATCAGCGTCGTCGTCGCCGTCGTGGCCGCGACTGCGGCTACGACCGCGACTGCGGCTAGGCTCGCGGCGACCACCGCTTTGACACAGATCGATCGCTTCCGCCGCTGACAGGGGCCTGCCTCCGCGCGACGCGGGGCGGGGCGTCGCCGGCGGCCCGAGCTTCGCCAATTCACCCCAGATGTCCAGTTGCTCCAGCTGGAAATACTCGGCAACCTGGAACCACGAGTTGCATCTCTCCAGCCAGTCGTCGTCTTCATCGAGCCACCGCCAGCTATCCACTGGGCGGACGCGCGTGCACTGGATGACGCGGCCCTCGCCCCGCCTGATCGACAGGCCCGAGTTGCCAACTCCGTCGTTCAAGACGCTCCACAAACACTCGAGATCGTTGTCGATCACGTGGGTATACTGCAAATGCTGAGGAGCAACGCCCTTACCGTCCGCCCCGCTCTTCTGAGCCGTCAAATGGATGTTCGCGTCAGGCATCCCCATCTCGAGCAAGCCTTTGCTCCGGATCAGCCTGTCGACCCAAGCCTCTACCCTGCCCAGGCGGGCATGGCGCGAGTACCACGTGCCCCGCGTCGTGCGACTGATGAAGTGCATGTCTTGCAGACCGTACTCAGCCGCAAAGAGCACAACGAACGCCCAGAAGCCATCCTCGACAGCCGTGTACATCATGCTGCCTTCAACCCGCTCATCGTCGTTCCGCTTGGACGCGACGTCGCCCACACCGATGGCCACAACAGGCCGGGTGGGCTGTGCAGCACCACCTGGTGCCGAGGCGGGCTCTGCAGCACCGCTGAACGCCTCATTCCGCCAACCTCGGGACATCAGCGCAGGCGGCTGTGCGGCAGGGGCCTCCGGACTTGAGCCGAAATGGTTACGGAAAGAACTGCTTGCGGGGGATCCGGTCCGGCCATCGAGGCCAGCTCGGCATTTGTCGCACATTGTTTTGGTTTTGCCTTGGCTTTGCTTTACTTTTGTTGTTGCTTTGCTTTGCGTTGCTTGTGCTTTACGTTGCTGTCGCTGCTGTTGCTTTGCCTTTTGCGTTGCCGTTGTGCTATGTTATGCTCTGCTGTGCTGCGCGTGTGCATGCTATGCTATGCTAAAGCTCACCAAAGCTAAGATGAAGGTAAGCTAAGCTAAGATAGAACTGAGGTAAGATGAAATTAAGCTAAGGTAATCTGAAATAAGCTAAGCTATGATGAAATAAACAACGCGAAGCTAAGGGAACGTCAATGGGGGAACCGCGGGGCGGATGCCGGGGGAACCGCCCGGAGCGAGCCCCACTGCCCGGCCCTTTAAGCTTAGCTATGCTATGCTAAGCTGCGCTGTGCGATGCGATGCTATGCTATGCTATGCAATGCTTTGCTATGCTGTACTATGCTGCGCTATGCTATGCTTGATTATGTTATGCTATGCTATGCGATGCTAATGCAGCACTGTGCTATGCTATGCTAAACTACGCTAAGCTAACCCTCTAAGCAGAGCCTAGGTAGGGAATTACACCCATGCTATGATATGCGATGCTGCGCTATGCTATGCTACGCTATGTTATGCTATGCTGTGCTCTGCTATGCTACAGTTCAGCGAAGCTAAGATGAAGGTAAGCTAAGTTATGGTAAATATGAGGTAAGATGAAACTAAGCTAAGGTAATCTGAAATAAGCTAAGCTAAGATGAGATCAGCAACGCGAAGCTAAAGGAACGTCACTGGGGGAACCGCGGGGCGGATGCCAGGGGAACCGCCCGGGGCGGGTTACACTGCCCGGCCCATTTAAGCCTCCGAGTAAGAACCCTTCTAGGCAGAGCCTAGGTAGGGAAAAAGAGCCACCCTCAATTTGGAAATTCCCGCCGATGTTTGAGACAAATGTGCGCGGCGCCAAAGCGAGAACCACTCGGAGGGTCGTCCCGGTGGTCCCTCTCTGCGGGCGTCGAGCTCGAGGCGTCTCCAGCCTGCAGCTCGGGGTGGGGCACCCTGGGCCGCCTGTCTGGAGGTGGCCCGCTGGCGGCGCCGCTTCTCTGGGCGACGGACATTTGATCCATGCACCTGCTTGCGCCCCGACCCCACGCCACGAGGAGGCAGAGCGGGGATGTGGATAAAGCCCTGGCCTCCGATTCCGCGGCTTCTTAGCCATGCCGTGCGTGCTTCCCCTGGCGCCCAGAGTAGGGGGCAGCAGCGGGGGTATAGATAGAGCCTCGACCGCCGACTCCCCTACATCCGAGATGGAGGGAGGGAGGGACGGGAAGGGCCAAGTAGCAGGATGTTTGAGAGCAAGAAGAGGCGGACGCGGGCAGGCCTTCGTAGTCGATGATCCGCATCGTGAGCAGGTTGTTCGTTCTGTAGCCCGTGGACTTATCGAAGGTCTGGTCGAACCGCGAATCCTGGCGGCGCGCAGCGAGCGTGCGCGCGCAGAGCGCGACAAAGCTCTCGCGGGGGGGCATGGCGACCCCACTCCGGGACTTCCTGGAGCTCTCGACCGCAGAACAATGTTTTTGCCAAACTCGGGGATGCACGATGGGTCGAGTGGGGAAGCGACTGCAGAATTGATTTACCCCCAAGTTCATTTTCTGGTCGAAGTCAGGAGACAAAACGTAGAATGGTCAGCAGTAAATCTACGGAGCAGTGTAGGCATGTTTCGTAGATTCGACGGGAAATCGATTTTGGGGTAAATCGATCATGTAGTCGATCCCCGACTCGAATGAGGAGCACCCATCCTCGCTACCACCCTCGCGCAATCAGAGAGATCGCTGAGGCGGTTCTTCTGGCCACGGCGACCCTCAGCAACGAACGGGTCCGCCGACACAGATCCAGGGACCGGTCCGAGAACTTGCCATCGCCCGGACGTCCACTTCCCGTGCATGTGTCGATGCCGTGCGCCTATGGTTTGGGACTGATCCAGGATGCCCTTCGATGGTCCTCGCTGGGGATGGAATGCGCACGTCCGAGCGATGCCCAGAAAACCAGAGCCCCTCCAGAGCCCCAAACGGTCCTCATCCCAGCGTCTTGACTGGAGGGGTGCGCCGGAAAGCCCTCCCCGCCAACAGTCGCCCGGGATCCACCCCGGAGAGATAGCTGGCGCGGAAGCCCCATGCTCAGGCTGGGCCCCCCCTCCCCTGGCTGGGGAAGCCCCGCTCTGGCGGACCCTGCAACTGCCCGCCACGGCGCGAGCCGTGACCCCCACAGGGAACCCGCTGCGATCTGGCATTGGACACGGGGTTGCACCCACGAGCTCCCGCTCGTTGTTCTGAACGGCCAGCTCCCCGGACATCTCGGGTCGGGCGAAAGGGGGGGATAGCAAAGGGGGGGTTTGAGAATCAGCTCACGTAGCTGATTTTCTCGGCGCCTCCCGGCGCCGGAGGCGGCTATGTATCGAGGAATGGGCTCCTCGGTGAGGCCGAAACCAGCTACATGCAGCAAATTTCGTAACCCCCCCTTTCCCAATCCCCCCCTTTCGCCCGACCTGGACATCCGACGACACGGTTCTCGCCAACGTGCCGCGCCAAGAGGCCCTACCCCTTCCCCAGGGGTGGTCTGTCGACCAGGATCCGTGTTCTCGGATCCCCGGGCCCGGCAACAGGCCCGGAGGCCGACGCCGACTGGCGGGGAGCCCGGGGGGGAAGCGAGAAGGAGAAGGCCCTCTCAGAAGGCGGCGGGACTTCTCAGGAGGCCTCGCGCCTTCTGAGGTGTGTTCTGCGTCTTCAGGGAAGGCTCAGAAAGCTTCTCAGAAGGTCGGGGGACTTCCGAGCCTTCTGAGAAGGCCTTCTCCTTCTCACTTCCCCCCCGGGCTCGACGCCGAGCCGAGGACGCACGCCTGTCCGTGTTGTGTCGGCGGCGGGTCCGGCACGAACGCGAGCGCCTCCACCAGTACCGCTATCATCACCGGCGCCAGCACTCCTTCAGCACCGGCGCCAGCACTGACGCCGGCACGAACGTGAGCGCCTGCGCTGGCCCCCCCGCCAGTGCGTTCACCAACACCGACGTCATCACCGACGCCAGCACCTACGCCGTCGCCTACACCAGCACCGCCGCCAGCACGCCAACACAGACGCTGGCGCGTACGCTGGCGCCGACGCCAACATCGATGCCGTCGCCTGCGCTGGCAACAACGCCTGCGCCTACGCCAACACCAGCGCCAGCGCCTACGTCAGCTCCAGCATCATCGGCGGCTTCAGCACGGACGTGAGTAACGACGCCAGAACCGAGCCCAGCACCGTCGCCAACGTCATCGCCAGCACTCATCGCCAGCACCAACTCTTGCTCCTCCGCTGGCAACAGCGGCAGCGCCTACGTTCGCTCTGACCTCCTCACCTTCAGCAGCATGGACGCCGACACCGAGGCCAGCACCGAGGTCAGCATCCACGCCATCGCCTGTGCTGCCCGACGTCTGCGCCCAGGCCGGCACCAGCGCCGGCGCCTACGCCTGCCCCGCAGTCATCGCTCACAGCAGTGCGGACGTTTTCCCCGACGCCAGCACCGAGGCCAGCACCGGCGCCAGCGCCTGCGCTGACACCACCATTTGCGCCTCTCTGCCAGCATCAATGCCAGTGCATACGTCAGCTCTGATGCCAGCAACGACACTTCGTGGCGGCACCATGCGAAGCAGCTCACGCGTACAGTGCAGCACCACAGAGGCCACCACGACCTGGGCCAATAGCGCCACGCGCAGCCGCACCTGCGCACCCGGCAGCACCACTCGCAGCAGCGCCAGGGCATCCAGCAGCGCCAAGGGTCTACCACGCCGTCGGCAGCCGCGACCGCCCCCTGAGTGGGTGACCCGCCCTCTGATGGCCGCAGGCAGGCTTGCCAGGGGGCTGGGCGCGCCTGGCTGCCCAGCGGTGACGGAGGACGCGCAGCCCAGCACCAGCAGCCTGGAGTTTGCTGCAGCCCTCCTCTGGCATCCAGGAGTGGGCCGCGCGGGGCGGCGAGCTGCGTGACTGGCTCGGGCGCCGCACCGTGGGCGGTCGGCGATGTGGTTCCGCCCAGCAGGGCCGTAGTTGCGCCGCGTCGCGTTGGTCTCTCTCTCTCTCTCTCTCTCCGCAGCCTGCAGGGGTAAGCCGGACCCCTGAGTCCCAGCTGCATCCTTCTTGTTTCACTTTCTGGTTCCGGATTGGGGTAGTTTGATCGCCACTTCCCGCTGCGCAGGTTGGGACGCTCGAGGGAAAAATTGTGTCGGCGGCGGGCTGGGCCCAACAGGCGGCCAGGCAGACGGCGGGACGCATCCGTTGCGAGTCGGGTGAGCGAAGGGCGAGATCGAAAGGACGAAGGGCGAGATCGAAAACGGGAGGAGGCGCCCGGATTGCACGAGTCGTCTCGTCGAAAATCGGGGCCTTGTGTGGCGAGAGCCGACCACGAAGCCCAACACGACTGCGCCACTCCCCCCCCCCTCCTCCTCCTCCTCCTCCCTTCCTCCCCCTCCTCCTCCTCCTCCTCCTCCTCCTCCTCCTCCTCCTCCTCCTCCTCCCCAACCTCCTCCTCCTCCTGCTTCCTCCTCCTCCTCCTCCTCTTCTGCTCTCCCCCGTGGCCCCCTGCCGCGCGCGATGACCCCCCCGCTTTGCAGCGTGCTCCGACGACTGGGGCGGGCTGCGCCCAAAGCCTGTGCCTCGCGATCCGTTCGGCCTTCGACTGAGGACTGAAGATCGGCGGCGGGGACGGGGGACAATGAGAAGAGGCGGGCTTCTCAGACGGATCCGAAGCCCCCCGGCCTTCTGAGACGTTTTCGAAGGCTTCCCGAAGCTCAGCCGCCTTCTGAGAAGGCATTCTCCATCTCACTTCCCCCCCTCGCTCGCCGCTGAGAGGATGAACAACCACATGTGAACCCAACCCCTGCAGGTCAAATTTCCCCAAGGCCGGCTGGGGTGCAGAGTTCGAAGTATGTCCGCAGCCAAACGAACCCAAGCCCTGAGGGTGTCCCATATCCCCTCGTCTATTTGACCGGCAGGGGTACGAACGAACGAACGTTGTGCTAACTATGCGGCGAGAACTACGTGCCGTAATCTGAGAGGTGTAAGCTTTGTCGTGTAACATGTGGTGGAAGCTGTGTGGTGTGAGCAATGTGGTGTGAGCTATGCGGTGCAAGCCATGCGGCGTAATGTATGTTCACTCGTTCACAGCAGTGGCGCCGCTTGTTGTGAGCTGTGACGTATGCAATGGGTCGTGTAAACTGTGTAGTGTGCCCTGCGTGATAAAAGCTGTGCGGTGTGAGATGTGAGGTGTGAGCCATGTGTGTTCGCTCTATGCGGGGCAAGCTGTGCGGAGCCTGCGTGCGGGCACCGGGCGAAACCTCGGCATACCCACCCAGCGCGGGGGCGCCCACGAGGCCCCGGGGGCGGGCACCAGGAGACACTTCGGCGTACTCCCCCCCCCCAGCGCGGGGCTCCCACGAGGCGCCCGCGGGCGCTGGCCAACCGGGCACCAGCCGAAACCGCGGTGTGCCCATCCAGCTCCTTACGCAAGCCAAGTGAGGACCCCTGGCACTGATCGCGGACATCAGCAGGGGAACACGAAGTGCAAGGAAACCTGAGGAGATGGCCAGACAAATCAGTGCTTCAGAGGTAAGCAAAATGCAGCCCGACGCCGTCTGACAAATCGAGAGCGACCAGTGGGCCTTCATCAATTGCCGTCTGCCCCTCGGGAGAGGGAGACCAGGACCCTCGGGGCTGACACATCAGCGGCGATCGAGCTCTGCCTGTTTTGCCCAGCCCTGGTGGTGGGGACAGTCGGGGACGCGTCCTCGTAGCAGTTTGGGATGTTCACCGTCTCGTGGGTCTTGAACACGTGCCCTGGGCGAGCCGAGCTGCTGGGGAACCGCGGGGCCGTGCTTCAGAGAGCAAGCGGTGGGTCCACGGAGAGTAGTCAAAACGAGAGAGACGAATAGGAGGAAGAAGACGTAGGGAGGAGGAGGAGGAGGAGGAGGAGGAGGATGTCAGGACGGATGGCTATCAAACTTGACGAGCGCGGCGGCGGATCGCTGCGGACCCCGCGTCAAGCCGTACGCTGGCTGTGGGGTCTCGGATGGCAGCTGCTCCGTGCCCTCGCGCGCGCCTGCAGCTCTTGGAAGGGCCCTGGCGAGGCCAGTGCGGCCCGTGTCAGCAAGAGCGCGCTCGCGAATGCCCTTACCATGTGGGCGCGGGCGGGGATCCATTGCGCTCCTATAGGCTATGGGATCTGCTTGCATCAACACGGGCTTTCGGGGGGCCGCGATGGTTTCTTGAATAGGCGCTGGACCCAGCACCCCCCTCCCTGGCGCACGAAGCGCGCCAGGGGGTGCGCCCGAGGCGTCGCCAAGAGGGTCCAGCCCGAGGCGCCGCCAGGAAGGTCCAGCGCCGACCCGAGAAAACCGCGCGGACAACCTGAGGTTCATGTTTACCCGTCGGTCGGAAGAAGTGGGTAGGAACATGATGAAATAGATGGGGTCTCCGCCGACCCCCATAAGCGGAGGAAGAGGGAAGGCCGCTTGACTCTTGAAGTAGGAATGTGCCTAAAGCAGATCAGGACTTGGGCATCCAAAAATACCTACGTCCTTTCACCGACCGGCGTGTAAGGCTGCAGAACGGAAGGGGAGGGGAAAGGAGGGGAGCGGAGGTGGGACGTAGATTAGGATCTGGATTTCCACAAATACATATTTTCATCGACCGGCGTGTAACGCAAAGTTCTCTTCTTCGAGATGCGGCCGCGGGCCAGGCTGCACACAGCTCATAGCCATGTGTGCTCTGTTTGCCGCCTGATCCCCGCCCTCAGATCGGACTAGATCCTTCTGCTCTCCCTGGAAGGCGGAGGGATCTGAAGGCGGGCCCAGGCAAGCAAGCACGCTTAGCCTTCTGTCGATTCAAACGCTTGAGGGAGGGCATTGCCAAACCAGGTGCAGACAGGATATCAAGTTTTTATTATTCCACATAACGCGCGTTATGTGGCTGGGTGGGTGGGTGGGGTCGCTGGCACATAACATAACACAGCCGCGCCCGGCCGCTCGAATGGCTGTATGCACACATTCTGATGCAGCAGCCTATGCGCGCACCACATCGCGCGTGTACACCACAGTGCATGGCGCATGGCAGTGATCACTAAACCACAGAAACTGCGTATACGACTGTACACGCGCCATACCATTTTTTTCCACACCCTTTGCTGCGCCCACAGCAGCACGCTCCGCGCGCACAACGCAGTCGCGCCTGGCCGCTCGAATGCTGATTGTGCTGGAAGGACTGCCCTTTGTTGCTATCGGTCATAGCACTCATGCAACGAAAGGACCTAGCAGCTGCGAGTGCTACACAGCGCCGCGATGCCCACGAACACCACGCATGCTGATGCAGCAACCTACGCGCGCACAACATCGTCAGCGTACGTCGCAACGCACGGGTGCACAACAGCGCCTGTGTATACAGCTGTCAACGTGCACACCACCTGTAGTACGCCAGCGAAAAAATCGCTTGCGACCCGACAGCCACGACGCGTCTATGTCAAGCGCTGCAATAGTTTGCGGTCCGATCAACGCGACGTGCCCGTAAACGGCACAATGCTTTTGACGAGCGCAGCGTCTGTGAAAACCACAGCGCTTGTGAACACCAAAGCGCCTGTCAACGTAGCGCCTGCGAACGCCACAGCGCCCGTGAATGCCGCATCGCCTGTGCACGCGACATAACCAGAAAACGCCACAACCCGTGTGAACGCCACAACGCCTGTGAACACAGCGCGCGCGAGCACCGCAGAGCCTGGGGCCCGGCGGCAATGCGCACGCACTTACAGTACAAGTAGCAGTGGTAATAGCATTGGTAGTACTCGTAGTAGTAGTAGTAGTAGTAGTAGTAGTAGTAGTAGTAGTAGTAGTAGTAGTAGTAGTAGTAGTAGTAGTAGTAGTAGTAGTAGTAGTAGTAGTAGTAGTAGTAGTAGTAGTAGTAGTAGTAGTAGTAGTAGTAGTAGTAGTAGTAGTAGTAGTAGTAGTAGTAGTAGTAGTAGTAGTAGTAGTAGTAGTAGTAGTAGTAGTA